GAGTCTTCAAGGCTGTGTCTGAGTTAAACACAAGGTTTACTTCAGAAATGAAGAGTCTTTTTGAAAGTCTCTTGAAAGAAGCAAAGAAACATGCAGTCAAGGTGACGCTAGATCCAGATACAGCTCATCCAAAATTACAAGTGTCTCAGGATTATAAACAGGTTGAACACACAAATCAAACAACAAATCTTCCAGACGCCCCGGAGAGATTTTCAAAAAAGCTGTATGTTTTAGGAAAACAAAAGTTTTCTTCTGGCAGGTTTTATTTTGAAGTTCAGGTCAAAGGAAAGATTCAGTGGGTCTTAGGAGTGATGAAGGAGTCAGCAGACAGAAAAAGATCTGCAAATTTCACTCCTGAAAATGGATACTGGAGAATTCCTGGAGGAAGTAAAGATCCTCTGTGGTCTGCTGTGGAGAAGGTCGGGGTGTTTGTGGACTATGACGAGGGCCTGGTCGCTTATTTTGATGCAGAAACTTCAACTCTGATTCACTCCATCACTGACTGCAGATTCACTGAGAACATCCTTCCATTGCTCTGTCCTTGTGACAGTTCTCTTCCTCTGATACTTACTCCTGTTAATCTTTAATTTTTCCATTTTAAAGTTAAAACAAAAAATATATATATTATCATTATTTTTATGTCATGTATTAAAGGTGCATTTCTGTAACTTTTTTGGTGGAGGGTCCATCAAATGCTATTCTCCATGGAATGTTATTACTTTGTCTGGAATGTTTCACAGTATAGCATTAAACCTTTCTATCATCATGGAGACCAAACCAGACCAAGTTACAGGTCAGATCTGTGGAGAGGTGACCCTGCTCACAGTCAGAATGCCTGTTTTTCTAGGTATATTTCAGCTATAAAACCACCTGTAATTAATAACTAAAAAGTAGATCTGTTTAATGTCACACTGTGGAACATTCCAGGCAGAACAATGACATCTCCATAGAAACAAGCCGGTGATGGACCCCCAACCAGAAAGTTACATAGTCCACCTTTAAAAGTCTATCTGCAACATTTTCTAGGAAAAAACTGTTAGGTAATTTAGTTTTGGTTAATGTAGCAGTTAATATATATATGAGTATTTAAAATGGAAATTTCAAACTAACAGGTAAATTCAGTGTCTGCAGCCATCAATTTGTTTATCAAAATGTACCCCAGTTGTAATGAAAAAATAAAGAGCAACAAATGAAGCAAAGTCGTTATTTAGTTTTGTTCTTTAAAAACACATGATTACATTTTGGTCCATGAATTCTCTCACATTGTATTTTCTTTCTCCTCCACAACACTTTTAATTTCCTTTTACTGTAATTGAGGTGAGGACACTGGCTCTGTCCCTTTCACCTTTTCCTTCTGAGTAAGGACCTGTGCTTACCTCTGCATATTCACTCTCTGCACAATCTAACTCCGCTCAGAGTCAGTCAGGGTCACACCCAAAGATGGTTAAACATTACCATAGATAAACAGTTTGTTTTTCCTCTTGGGGACATCCTGGGGTCACTGTGATTGATTGATTGATTTATTGAAAGGAAATATCTCATAGGCATAAATACATTTATTATAATGAATGCTGTGATGTTAAGACCAGTATTGCCAGATTGAGTTTAGTGATTTCCACCCTATCACGTTCAACAATATTTTCATTTATCACAGAAAAAAATAAATAAATAAATAAAAGTCATTTAACCTGATATTTGAATAAACATGTTATTCAGGATTCGGAAAACATGTTATGTAAAACCTTTGGTAAAATGTAGAACAGTGTTTTCATCAGGCATGAAAATGAATATCATCTATGGTCGGCTACAGCCTAGACTACTGCAAGAACAGCTGCAAACACAGAACCTGAGACTCATACAACTAAGAATTCAATCTCTGCAACAGCTGTGGGAAGTCTGAACATAGTGGACGTCCATTCATTTGTGCACCCACATGGTTCCTTATGTGGTTGTGTTATTGCGTATCACGTTGATTAGTGTGAAAGCAAAAAACCCCCTAAACTTGTTGATAGTAGTCCAAGGCTTCACCTCCCTGCCCAACATAGTCAAATGAAGCCCAATTGGGCGAGCACCCGCCCAATCTGGCAACACTGGTTAACACTGGCTGATGTCCTCAACACTCCCTCGGGGTGTGATGTGTAATGAGTCTATATCATATATGGGTTTAACTTTCTGAAATGAGTGACCAAAAATATTAAACTTTTTCATGATATTCTATAATTTTCAGTTTAAGGAGGGACTCCGGGACTTCCTTCACCCCGGACACTTCCTCCAGCTCCTCCGGGTCCTGGGTCTTCCTGGGACCTCCTTTACAGACATGCCCGGAACAAATGCCCGAGCCACCTCAGCTGGCTCCTCATGACATGGAGGAGAAATGGAGGCATCCAACAGTTTGCCAGAATGTCTTTGAGGCCAATAGTCCTCCTCCATGGCCTCCCCGAACTCCTCCCAGACCCACGTTTTTGGCTCTGTGACCACACAGGGTGCAGCTGGCTCGGCCTGCCGGTACCCATCAGCTACCTCAGGAGTCCCACGAGCCAACAAGAACTTATTCTTCAGCCTGATGGCATCCCTTACTTCCCGCCTCCACCACTGGGTTCAAGGATTGTCACTGTGACAGACCTTACGCCCACAGCTACGAGTGGCTGCATCGACAATAGAGGTCGAGAACAGAGCCCACTCGGACTCCATGTCGCCAGCCTCCCCCAGAATCTGGGAAAAGCTCTCCCAGAGGTGAGTTGAAGGTTGCACCGACAGAGGGTTCTGCCAGATGTTCTCAACAGACCAGACCCTCACGATATGCTTGGGTCTGCCAGGTCTTTCTGTCTTCCTCCTCCGCCAGTGGACCCAACTCACCACCAGGTGGTGATCGGTTGACAGCTCTGCCCTGCTCTTCACCTGAGTGTCCAAGACAAGCAGCCAGAGGTCAGATGAGACATGCACTGATGGACACCCTTGTGCTTGGGCATGGTGTTCATTATGGACAAGCTTTGACTAGCACAGAAGTCCAACAACAGAACACCGCATGGGTTCAGATCAGAGAGGCTGTTCGTCCCCATCGCCCCTCTCCAGGTGTCACTGTCGTTGCCCACGTGGGCGTTGAAGTCCCCCAGTAGAATAACAGAGTCCCCAGTCGGTGCACTGTCTAGTACCCCTCGCAGGGACTCGAAGAAGGCTGGGTACTCTGCACTGCTGTTTGGCCCGTAGGCTGTCAGAACAGTGAGAGACCTGTCCCCGACCCGAAAGCGCAGGGACACGACCCTCTTGTTCATCAGGGTGAACAACATGCGGTGGGTGAGCTGTGGGGCAATGAGCAGGCCCACACCAGCCGCTCTGCGCGGGCAATGGCAGAGAAATGGAGAGTCTAGCGCCTCTCAGGGAGTTGGGTTCCAGAGCCCAAGTTGTTTGTGGAGGTGAGGCTGACGATATCTAGTTGGTAACACTCAACCTCCCACACAATCTCAGCCTCCTTCCCCCTCAGCAAAGTGACATTCTATGTCCCCAGAGCCCATTTCAATGTCCGGAGATCCAGCTGTTGAAGCCCCTGCCTTTGACGGCTACCCAGATCTCTTTTCATAGGCCCCTTACGGATCCTCCTACAGGTGGTGGGTTCATGGGAGGACAGCCCCACATCACTTGTTCAGGCTATGCCTGGATGTACCCCGTGGGGAGAGGTCCAGCCACCAGATGCGCACCCCAGGGCCTGGCTCCAGGGGGGAGCTCAGTGATGCCAATCCATCAGATGTAACTGGCCTTGTTCTTGAGCTCATCATAAGGCGCATTTGAACCGCTCTTAGTCTGACCCATCCCCCTGAACCTATTTGCCTTAGGTTACCCTACCAGGGGCATAAAGCCCCCGAAAACATAGCTCCTGGGATCATTTGGGCACTCAGGCCCCTCCACCACCTTAAGGTGGCGGTTCAAGGATAAAATCATGATAATTATTTTATGAAACTCATCGAGACTAGGAGTTATAGGAGTGAATCTGGAACTGAGTTCCATATTTGGAATTCCAATCGCAAGTATTATGGCAACCAAAGAGCCAATCAGGAGCGAGACTGTTGAAGGTAATGCCGGGGTCAGTATTTATTGTGGTTACTTTGTCTTATACAAGTGGGTGAATCTTTTGTTATATTTCTGTACTGCTGTAAAATTTGAGCTGTAGATGTTTAAATAAATAACTTATCTGACTAATTTTAGAGACAAATGAATGAATGAACAGTTTAACTTTGCTATTTCCTTATTTCAGTTTTGTATTTTTTAACCATTTGGATTAGTTCTCGTGGGATAGTCCTGTTTTGGGGTCACTATGTCAGTGTTATAACTTAAGCTTCAGTATTATTGTTTATTGTCTACATTTTCTCCAACAATAAATCGTACTTCCAAATGTGTTATCATGACAGGCTCAGGGTCCTCATGGACTGAATGGAGTTTGATCTAAGATGTTTTTTGTGATAGACTTAAACAATTTCTGTATTTTATAGAATGCTTTTTTTGTTGTTTTTGTTTTATGTAAATATCTAAACTGTTTTTTCTTGTTGCAGAGTGGGCTGAACTCACTGGGTGACCTCACTTTGGGACCTCCCATTATTGTGGGGATATGAACACCTGGGCTGGCAACCATTTTGTATGCTGTGGTCCAAAACAAGAAAAATATCTGATGAAGGCATTTTATTTTATTTTTTTTTTTCTGAAACGTTATTTTGAAAATAAATAAGCTTTTGGACATCGGCCATCTGAGTGTGCTATGCATTTTTTCCACTTTTGTCAGGCCCAGGGTTCGTATCATTTTAGTTTTGGTCTAGATCTGGTTCTGTCAATGTTTTGTCATTGGATTAAGTCTCTATTTAGTCATGCTTTTGTCTTTTTTTAGGTGTGGATTAGCCTATTAAGTCCTGGTTTAGTCTTTTTTGAGCTTTAAATTCCTTGTTTTGACACAGTTTTGACACAGTTTATCCCAGAAATGTACATCTAATTCAGTTTTACCATGATTTCAGGTTATAGCATTGTCTGGCCACTTTATTGGGCACACCTGCTCATTCGCTCATAGTTCACAGTCCACAGTCACAGGTAAACCAGCAGGTGTTTTGGAGGCGGAGCAACATGACAAAACTCAGCTGTTTCACAAGAAATGAAACTCAAGAGAGAGAGGAGCTGGTGCGAAGTGTCTGCTCAAACCACAATCAAACCCACAAGTTTAAACATCTATAAACAACAAATATCAGGTGAGCAACACTTTATTGTATTATGTTAAGAATAATAGATACTAGATAATAGATAGATCAAAGTACAGAATTACTGATATCACCACAAAAATAAAACTAAAGGGTTAAGTAATAAAAATGCAAAATTAAGTAAACAAGAAGTGATGTTTTTACGTAGGTATGACTATAATAAAAATTTTACTGTGATCAAATAGAAACATGTTTGAACTGGTGAACAGAATAAATGAGAAGAACTATAATAACTGTGTGAACAGAAGAGCCTGGGTGTGTCTCAATCAAACTGGCTGAGCTACACTGAAATAATCTGTCCTGAGATTCTCCTCTGTGCTAAGTTCACTTGAATGGATGTAGTCTGTAAATGTGGTAGTTGGATGGGTTGATGATGCAGATTGGTTAGCCTTACTTCCATCACTCTGCCTCAGGGCAGCTGTGGCTATAGTGGCTCACTGAGTGAACAGTGACTACAGTGAAGTGCACTGAGACTTTGACAAGGATGTAAAGTGCATTACAAGTTTAAAGCATTATTTTTTATAATTCTCACTGGTGTTTCCTTTTGTGTTACTCTTTGGAGACTGAGCTCTTCGTTCTGTTTCTAAAGTAGTGCCCAGACACCTGCAGAGGAAACTCATTTTGACCATCTGTCCTTTCAGTCATTACCCAAAGCTCATGAAGAGGTGAGAGTAGGAAAGTACATAAAGCAGTAAATAAAGAGCTCCTGCTTCACCATCAGCAAACTGTATTATGGACGAAGAAGGTGGAGAACCCAAGAATCTAGGAGAAGCTCTCCTTAAAAGTACAGATAAAGACAAAAGGTTCAGCCAAACTTAAGAGTCTCAAAGTCTGTTTAGTTTCCTTCCTGTAACACACTGAGCTCCGTGGTCACTAAAGGTGGTCGTTGATCTAGACTCATCACATGTAAATGTGTTTTCCTGTGTGTCTGCAGGATGGCGAGTGTGAGCTGTGTACTGTCTGAGGATCATTTCCTCTGCTCCATCTGTCTGGAGGTCTTCAGTGGTCCAGTGACCACTCCCTGTGGTCACAGCTTCTGCTGCACCTGCATCAATAAACACTGGGACACCTCTGAGCTCTACTTCTGCCCCGTCTGTAAAGAGGAGTTCAGCAGCAGACCAGTGTTAAAGACCAACACTTTCATGTTAGACATGTTGTCTGAGTTTAAAAACAAACCAAGAGGTGAGGAGCTGACGGCAGCAGAGTCAGGAGTGCTGTGTGACATGTGTCCTGACCCAAAGCTGCAGGCGCTGAAGTCCTGCCTCATGTGTCAGACGTCCTACTGCCCCCTCCACCTGCAGCCCCACCTCACAGTGCCCCGTCTACAGAAGCACCAGCTCATCGCCGCGGCGACCGACCTGGAGGAGCGGGTCTGTGCTGAACACGCCCGACCTCTGGAGCTGTTCTGCAGAGACCACTCTGAGCTCATCTGTGTCCTCTGCAGTTACACAGAGCACAGAGACCACAACACAGTCCTCCTGAAGGAGCAGTGTGAGGAGCAGCAGAAACATCTGCAGCAGGAGATACAGGAGAGAAGAGACAAAGTCCAGGAAATACTGAAGTCTGTGCAGCTCAGTCAGAAGAACGCAGACAGAGAAATGGAAGAGGGAGTGAAGTTCTTCAATGATCTGATGGAGTGTGTTCAACAAAGTCTGGATCAGTTTAAACTGAACATCGAAGAGAAACATGAGGAAATAAAGACAGAGGCAGAAGAGTTAATAAAAGGTTTAGAGTCTGAAATCTCTGAACTGGAGCAGAGACAAGCAGAGTTGGAGGAGATCTGGAGATCTGACGACCATTTTCAGTTTGTCCAAACCTTCAGTCTTCCAGAGCTGCAGGACTGGACAGAGGAGTCTGTGAGGGTTCCATTGTACAAGGGCAGAGTTTCCAAAGCTATGTCTGAGTTAATCACAAGGTTTACTCCAAAAATAAAAAAAAAACTTTTTGGGAGTCAGCTGACAGAAGCAAAGGAACATGCAGTCAAGGTGACTCTAGATCCAGATACAGCTCATCCAAACTTGGCCCTGTCTTGGGATTACAACGAGGTGCATTACACAAATCAAACAACAAATCTTCCAGACATCCCCAGAGAGATTTTCAAAAAAGCTGTATGTTTTAGGACATCAAAAGTTTTCTTCTGGCAGGTTTTATTTTGAAGTTCAGGTCAAAGGAAAGACCCAGTGGGTCTTAGGAGTGGTGAAGGAGTCAGCAGACAGAAAAAGATCTGCAAACTTCACTCCTGAAAATGGATACTGGAGAATTCCTGGAGGATGTAAAGATCCTCTGTGGTCTGCTGTGGAGAAGGTCGGGGTGTTTGTGGACTATGACGAGGGCCTGATCTGTTTTTTTGATGCAGAAACTTCAACTCTGATTCACTCCATCACTGACTGTTGTTTCACTGAGAACATCCTTCCACTGTTCTGTCCGGGCAACAACTCTCTTCCTCTCATACTTACTCCTGTTAATTATTGGACAGGACTTTTCCTTTTTTAAATTTAAACAAATATTATCATTATTTTTATGCCATGTATTAAAGGTGCATTGCTTAACTTTTCTGGTGGAGGCTCCGTCAAATGCTTTTCTCTATGGAGATATTATTGCTTTTTCTGGAATGTTTCACATTCACTTAAAGCTCACAAAAGTCAATTCTGAGTAATATAGGATTTAAAACAAACAAACAAACAAACAAACAAACAAAAAACAAAACAAAGAAAGTCCTCTACTTCACATTGTGTTATTTTTCTCCTCCACTACACTTCTCACAAACTTCTAACTTCCTGTTTGAGTCTAGATAATATACGAGTTTAACTTTCTGAAATGAGTGAAAAAAGATATAAAACTTGTTCATGATATTCTAGATTTTTGGAGATGTTCTGTATATCTGCCAAACTAGAGGAACTGCACACACAACACTGAAAAGGAGAAGAGCCAGTAGCAGACTTAAGACTTTGGAGAACTCCTTATCATGTATGATTTTCTATATGTTTTGTGTCTTTTTGATTGTTCTTGAGAAGTGATTTAGTCCTGGTTTAGTTCTGATTTAGTCCTGGGATCAGTCCTGCTTTATTCCTGCTTTAGTTCTGGTTTAGACCTGGTTTAGTCCTTGGATCAGTCCTAGTTTAGTCCTGGTTCAGTCCTGGCGCAAAAGTCACAGAAACGGGAATCTTTTTTTCTTTTTTCTTTTTCATTTAAACACAAAACACTGAAAACAATGAATCATTATCTGTTTTTTCACTTTGGTTTTGGAGACAAATAAAGAGGAAAATATATATATATATATTTTTTTTTCCCGTTTTCTTATTATTGGTTTTATTTTGAAAAACTAATGAACAAATGAGGATTGTAAAGGTACATACAGAGCGGAGAGTTTAAAATTCAACTCAGTATGAAGAAAACAGCTTACATGTTACAATCTTTAGAACACGAGGGTCTGGGGGTCTGGCAGGTTAATAAGGTCACAATAATTATTACATGAAATTCATCGAGACCAGCAGACATTGGAGCGAATCTGGAGCAGAGTCCCATATTTGGAATTCCGACCATGAGTATTGTAGCAACCAGAGAGCACAAACAAAGTACACAAACGCTAAATAAAAACACCACAATCATGTAGAGTAAGTTAATAGGAACATTTTAAGAACAAAATAACAAGCCCGACAGCCGCAGTTACAGAGCAAGGGACGATGGATTTTCAGTTAAAAGTGAACTGGAGCCAGAATTGATGGAGCTGGAAATGTACTAATGATTTCTGGGGGTCAGTATTTATCGTAAGTACTTTTCTTGGTACTTTTGGGGAACCGTTTGTTATATTTCTGTACTGCTGTAAGATTTGAGCTGTAGAGGTTTGAATAAATAACTTCTCTGACTCATTACAGAAACAAACTAATACATACATTGTTTAATTTTGCTGTTTCTTTATTGCACTTTGTGGTTTTTGACCTCATTGTACATTTAGAATAGTTCTTGTGGGGCGGTCCTGCTTCAGGTTTATTGCGTCAGTATTATTATTTTCAGTATTCAGTCGTACTTCCAAATGTATTATCATGTCAGGCCCAGGGTTCGTATCATTTTAGTTCTGGCCTAGACCCGGTTCTGTCCAGGTTTTGTCTTTGAATCAAGCCTCTATTTAGTCATGCTTTTGTCTTTGTCTTTTTTTTTTTTTTTTAGGTTCAGGTCAACCTCTTAAGTTCTGGTTTAGTCTTGTTTTTTGACCCAGTTTAACCCAAAAATGTTCATGTTATTCAGTTTTACCATGATTTAAAGTTATAGCGTTGACTGGCCACTTTATTAGGCACAGCTGCTCATGTGCTCATAGTCCACAGTCCATTGGCACAGGTAAAGCAGGAAGTGTTTGGGAGGCGGAGCAACATGACAAAACTCTGCTGCTTCACAAGAAACGAAACTCAAGAGAGAGAAGAGAGAGGAGCTGGTGTGGAGTGTCTGTTCAAACCAGAATCAAACCATCAACTTTAAACATCTATAAACAACAAACATCAGGTGAGTAACAAGTATATTAAGGCATTATGCTAAGAACAATAGTATTTTTGTTTAAAAGTACAATTTTGATCTACAACTATCACAAGAGACATAAAGAGAAAGTAAAATAATAAACAACATAATGTGAAGAGTTTCTTGCACTATGTAACTTTTTTGGTGGAGCGTCTGTTATGATAGTCTCCATGGAGATGTAATCGCTTGCCCTCAAATATTCCACAGTATGGCATTAAACATACTAACCCCACTTAGACAAGAAGGTACAACCATTAAACCAAGTTACAGCTCAGATCTGTGGAGAGGTGATCTCGCGCCAAGTATAAAGCATATTTTTCATGGTACGTTTGAGCAATAAAAACACGTCACTGACTAATGCAACAGCAAAACAGATACATTTAATGTCATACTGTGGAAGAATACAACACAGTGCTGTACTACTTTTTTTATTGGAAACAAAACATTAATTAAAATCAAAATGTGATCCCGAGAGCAGAGAAATACTGATGACTGTTGCTGTTACACAAACAAAAACAGGAGTGTCTGATTTAAACCAGCTGAGCTACATTCAAATACCTAAACTGAACAAACTGAAGTAAACATACTTCATACTTAATGGGCCCTCTGTTAACTCATGCATGTTTGAACAATTTCAAAGTTATATCAAAGTTCATGGCCAAAGGTGAGAGTATAATTGCCTTTAGTATTAGTATTGCCTTTGGACTTTTGGGCTCCTTCTTCACTACAACAGTCTGATACAGAGACCACGTCACTGCAGACTGTGCACTGATCCACCTGTCAATCTCATGCTCCATCCTCCCCTCACTGAACAAGACCCTGAGATATTACTTCAAAGAGGTTAATTTGGCCTTCCAATATAATTTCCAAAGTGTAAAGGTTCTTTTTGACAGACCAGTGTGTTGTTCACACATACCTTCACATGTTTTAGATGCCTTTAGATGTTTTCTTCTGAAGAAGGATGCAGAAGCTATTCCCCTACCAACGCTGAATTGGTAGGGGGATGGTCTGGTCTGTCAGAAAGAACCGTTATTTGAAGAAAAAAAACACAAAAACCCACAGATACTTGAGCTCAGGAGCAGGTCCAGTGTTCCACATCTGGGGAAAAATGTTTTAGTTGTGTGTAAGTAATGTTTCTCCAAAGAGCATCTGCAAACTGTCACATGTACAATACAGGTGGAGAACTCTGGGTCTGGAGAAGGTGTAAAGTGGAGTTAAAGTCTCAAAAGTCTGTCTAGTCTCCTCCCTGAGACAGAGTTCCTGTGAATGTTTTTAAGGTGGTCTGTAAGTATTCCCTGTGTGTCTGCAGGATGGCGAGTGTGAGCTGTGTGCTGTCTGAGGACCATTTCCTCTGCTCCATCTGTCTGGAGGTCTTCACTGACCCAGTGGCCACTCCCTGTGGTCACAGCTTCTGCTGCACCTGCATCAATAAACACTGGGACACCTCTGAGCTCTACTTCTGCCCCGTCTGTAAAGAGGAGTTCAGCAGCAGACCAGTGTTAAAGACCAACACATGTCTGTCCGAGATGTTGTCTGAGTTTAAAAGTCAAGGTGGAGACAATGCACTGCAAAAAGAGCTGAAGGAGCAGGTACATGTCACACTGTTTATGTGTTTTGATAAGTCTTGACTTGGTTTAATGGAATTGCTTTAATGGAACTACTTAACTTGTTTCATGACATTTCTAAGTTAGTTCATGATAACTGATAATTGATTGATCTGTCAAAAGAAAAGAATACCCCACTGGTCAAAATTTTAATTGAAATAAGAAATACTGTAATATCACAAAACTATTTAAAATTAATGTACAGTAGGTCTATCTAGTAACAACTACATGACTAATCATCATCATTCTGATGTCAGGACAGTTAAATAAATCTATTCTGCTCCCACAGTGTGAGAGCTCAGAGCCAGAGTCAGGAGTGCTGTGTGACGTGTGTCCTGACCCAAAGCTGCAGGCGCTGAAGTCCTGCCTCATGTGTCAGACGTCCTACTGCCCCCTCCACCTGCAGCCCCACCTCACAGTGCCCCGTCTACAGAAGCACCAGCTCATCGCCGCAGTGACCGACCTGGAGGAGCGGGTCTGTGCTGAACACGCCCAGCCTCTGGAGCTGTTCTGCAGAGACCACTCTGAGCTCATCTGTGTCCTCTGCAGTTACACAGAGCACAGAGACCACAACACAGTCCTCCTGAAGGAGCAGTGTGAGGAGCAGCAGAAACATCTGCAGCAGGAGATACAGGAGAGAAGAGACAAAGTCCAGGAAATACTGAAGTCTGTGCAACTCAGTCAGAAGAACGCAGACAGAGAAATGGAAGAGGGAGTGAAGTTCTTCAATGATCTGATGGAGTGTGTTCAACAAAGTCTGGATCAGTTTAAACTGAACATCGAAGAGAAACATGAGGAAATAAAGACAGAGGCAGATGAGTTAATAAAAGGTTTAGAGTCTGAAATCTCTGAGCTGGAGCAGAGACGAGCTGAGATGGAGGAGCTTTTGAAATCTGATGATGATTTTCAGTTTGTCCAGACTTTCACTTCAGTCAAACCTGCTCCAGAGCTGCAGGACTGGACAGAGAAGTCTGTGTGGGCTCCATCATACAAGGGAAGAGTCGCCCAGGCTGTGTCTGAGCTACAAAACACAAGGGACTCAAGGCCAAATATAAAGGAACATTTTTGAGAGTCTGTTGAAAGAAGCAAAGAATCATGCAATCGAAGTGACTCTAGATCCAGATACAGCTCATCCAAACTTATATCTGTCTTTGAATTACAAAGAGGTTCAGCACAAAGAAAACGAAGGAAAAATGTCCCAGACACACCTGAGAGGTTTTCAAATGTGACATGTGTCTTAGGAAAACAAAGTTTTTCATCTGGCAGATTTTATTTTGAAGTTCAGGTCAAAGGAAAGACACATTGGTTCATTGGAATAGCCAGGGAGTCAGTGGCCAGGATAATATCTGGGTCTTAACTCCTGAAAATGGATACTGGGTAATTTCACGGAAAGTACAAGAATCCTCTGTGGTCTGCTGTGGAGAAGGTCGGGGTGTTTGTGGACTATGATGAGGGTCTGATCTGTTTTTTTGATGCAGAAACTTCAGCTCTGATTCAGTCCATCACTGACTGCAGATTCACTGAGAACATCCTTCCACTGCTCAATCCTTGTAGCAGTAATGATGGCGAGAACTCTTCTCCTCTGACAATCACACCTGTCAATGTTTAGTGATTTATTTATTTTTTTTAATGGTTCTATGTTATGCATTGTTTCATTTGGTGCCATATTAAAAAAACAACAACAAATAAATAAAAATTATAAATTTTCTCAAATTTCAAGACAACATTACCTTATTTTAAGATACGTGCATAAGTACAGTTTAAATATACTGTTCTACTGTTCTCAGAAATAAAGGTTTAATATAGGTTTAGTTATTCAAATTCAAAAAGTTTGTCAGTTTTCATATGAAACATACGAAGAACTGAAATTGTGCTCCTCACTCCAAATGTTTTAAATAAATACTACTACTAATAATAATAAACGGAAAAGTCCAAGTTCTTCTTTAGGGGGAAGCAGATTCTTGCTTCCTGGCTGCCTGGTGGTTAGAGAGGGGAGAGAGGTCAGCATCCTAACAGCCTGGGAGGCTTCTGTACCTCCTCCCTGAGAGCAGGAGGCTAAACAGATTATGTGCGGGGTGAATTGCATCACTCACAGATGTGATGGCCTTGCGGGTGAGGCAGGGGGTGTAAATGCAGGTGAGATGGGTGGTGTATATTCGGGT